CCTTAAATGATTTTTTTTTCTCAATTGCTCATCAGCAATTCCTCACCAACTGGCAACAAAAGTGGAATGATAGTGATTTGGGAAGATGGCTACACTCTATTCTCCTACAGGTGTCGAACCAACCATGGACCGTGACTTTATCCGCATCATGTCTAGGCTCATATGTGAGTATAGCTTTTTGAGAATTTAGGATTGTTTTTTTATTGATGTGTGTCTCCTCTCATCGTTTTCCCAACATTGTGTTTCGTTTCAGTTGTCTCATCAATTATCCATTCACTTTTCGAGATTTAGAGCACTTGTCCGCACTGCAGTGCTTCTTCCACGTTCATTCACCAATACAACGGCGACGGAGGTTAAAACGACAATTCACCCCCATGTATCTTATCCCAAGTCCTGTCTAAAAATTGTTGTCATTAACCTCGAGTAAGCCACGAGTGTTCGGTCCCCGTTCTACTAACTTTAACATAAGAAATATTTTTAATATACATTGAATTAAGGCTCCGCAAAGCTAACGCAATTGAGCCTTGACAAATAAATGATACTAAAAAAAAAAGATGAAGACGAATATTAATATTGACAACAACAAAGGCGATAATGAACATCCAGCCACGAATCAAGGAAAACAAATCAAGCTGAACATTGCATTAGGTCCTTAGTAAAATTGATCGATTCTCTTCGTCGACTTTCTCTTTCGTTAGTAACTTGAGCACATACCCGTTTCTTGTTGTAATTGTCGTATTAGATGCTAGATATAAACTTCTTTTATCAATCTGTGTGCTGGAAATACCTGGAAATGTTTTTACATGGCCGTGGGGATACAAAGAGAAAGTCGACGAAGAGAATCTCTCAATGTTACTTAGGACCTAATGCACTTTTCAGCTTGAAATATTGACTGCGATACTCAGAGGTTGCCTTGATGAAGAGAAATCAAATTTAAAATTCATGCTTCCGTGCGCTTCCGTTAGTTGAGCTGTAGCCCACCTAAATCGAAGCCAAACGTCATTTTCGACAGTGCTAATTTTTTTTCGAGGGGCTCATGTATGAACAATTTGGATAGTTGCTAAAGAATCGTGATGATAATTAACAATCGGTGTATCCCTCAACCAATTTTTAGCTTGACAGCTCAGTCCAAACTAACGAAAGTCTTTCACTAAGTGGGCTACAGGTTTAGCCCAACGAGATAATTTTAACTGTATTCCATAACACAATTTTTGAAGATTCTGGGGGAAACATCTATTAAGAGAACTAACTCTTATTAAAAATTTGAAATGGACATCCATCCTCAAACTTCACCGATTATCAGAGTTGGTTGGAAATGCTAACATGAAGCTTTAGTGTGATGATTTATTAGCTAGAGAATGATCTTTAGAAGAGGGTAGGTGGATAGTTCCGTTAGAGTACGGCAGTATGAAAATTGAATAGAAGTTGAAAATGAGCGAAGGGCCATTAAAGCGACAGTTTTCAAGATAGACGCACATTTTTGCCTAGCCCGTACGATGTACGCGGGGACTTGAAATATGTCTCCAAGTCCACAGGCAAAAATTAATTAATCAGTTGTTTGAAACTAGCTAGGTCAGTCATACTTATTAATAATTTTTGCGATTAAGAAATATTTCACTGAATTTGAATGATATTCCCTGATTTTCCACACGGCCAATCATACCAACTCAGCGACTGAGAATAATTGACTCAGAGAATTTTCTTTCCATACGAAATTTAGTCAGATTTGGAAGAAACTGCAGTTACTCATAGCTTATGAGGAACTGCAGTTTCTTCCAAATTTGGCCGTGCAGGTCCAAAAATGAATTCTCTGATATGCCCTGATTTTCCAGGTTTACCTTTGATTTGGGTTATCATTTGTTTACGATTTTTGTGTATTTTTTACCCATAAATGGGTACTTTCAAGTTAGCGTGTAATACCAACAATCAATACGAAACTAACGATTTTAAATTGTAAGCTCACTACTTGACTAGCCTATTGGTCCCAAGCAAACGATTAACGTACCCCATTCTAGTCGAAATTCTAGTACTACACAATGTTTGTTTTGATTCGCTATGAAAGTTTGACAGATAAAATGAGGGGTTATTGGTTTTTCCTATGTTTCGAGGGGTGAATCGATTAGCTTGGGACCGAAGAGAGTACCAGAGCTGAGCTAAAAAGATGAGCACGTTATTTCGGGACCTTCTAGTCTTAGAGTTACCTCTATGGTAATACTCCGTACAGACTATGGCAATAGAGCTTTTTGACGTTTAATCGGCGCACACTAATGCACCATTTAAACTGAAGGAGTGTGAGCAAGAGAGAAACAGATTAGTGGGAAAACAAACCGTCCATTCATCCATGTGTGTTAGATAGAGAAATATGGTTAAACGTCAAAAAGGTCTGTAGTCCGAATGTAGTATAAGTTGGAAATACGCCATGTAAGAAGAAACATTTTTGATGATTTGAAGTGATATTGGCTTCTGCTTTTTCGTGTTTATCGAGTAGTTTGTGAACTGTTCTCTCTATATGTGGCAAAATATGGTTTGTTTACATTTTTGATTTACGCCATTTTCAAATGTTAGTCTAGATTTCATCTTTGCTCAAAATTGTATGCAGTTTAACAAAACTGCGTTTGTCTCGTAGGGTTTTTGATCTAATTTCCGTCCTACTAAGCACAACCCGCGCTTTTCCTCTCTTTTCTGAACGAGTTTAAACAAAAAATGGAATATTTCTGTCAATGATGACTTCTAAATTCATTCACCTTTCCATACATACCGTTGGATTTGATAAAGAGTCACACATTTTTGAGATATTGTTTAAAATCTAACACTGCTTCTTGATTCCAAATTCGTTCTACGAGTTTCAATTCCGTCCTAACGCATTGAAACGCCATAAGATTTTCTTCGTCCTACGGATAAACGTAGAAAAAGAGGATTCGCTGAGCGTTTCTTTTGTTTTGAGCGTAAATATTCATATAATGCGCTTTAACTGGATTTATGTTGTAGCTAATGAACTTACGCATCAGAACAAACCTATTATTGATTTGTGCATGGTGAAATCATTGATATTATTGATCTTTTCTGATCGATAGAACGGAAATGGGCGATTACGACGAAGTAGTGCTCTACCCTACCACATTTAAAAATGGGTAAGACTACACTGATACAAAATCCATTGGCAAAAATACTATATTGCTGGTTTAAATTAAATACCCTCACCAATAGATTTGTGCAGAAAACAATTTCATTTAATTTTACTATTATTTCTATCAAAATTATTATTGCTTTGGAGCAAGCATAGTAGTTTCGCCAGAATCATAGTAATTTTTTTTTTACATTCATAGTCAACTATACTGAATTCATAGTAGATTTAACAGTAATAAGCGTGGTTATATTGAAAATAAGTGTTTTCTGCAAAATAGTATTCCTAGCTATGATCCTTGTTTCAGTGTAGCGGTGATTCAGACTGACTGATTCTTTGTTGTTTACCTTTTTGACATTTCACCATACCTTAAGTTTTGAATGTATGCGTGAAACTGATGAACCTCGAAAAAAATTCGGGTCCGAACCTAGTCGTTCTTCAGGTTGCTTGGTTGCGAACCTAGGTTGGTAACTGGTGTTCAAACTATCAGTTTGACAGCTCTTAGGTTGCAACCCGGGTGAGGGTTCGCTTCAAACTAAAACGGCATTAGAAAAATCGTCTCTCGGTTGAAAGCGCGTTAATCCAATAGCTCCGCAAAATTGTTCAGTAAACAATCCTAAACGGCTTGAAATTCCATCGAAAAAATTTCCGTCACCTTTGATTGATAGCCAATCTTCCCGTCGTTAACCCCTCGCGATATCTGTTGCCAATTTTCTGCCCATTTACGATCCACTTCACACTCGATCCGATCAAAATTACCCACTCTTTACCGTCGAAAACGCGCTTACTTACACATTCCGGTCAGACAGCCATCCATCCGTCAAAAGAACACTCACTCCCCCTGTACAAGACGGTTGTTGATTCATCATCACCATCATCGTCCGTTCCATCTTGAAATATCAAGATAAACTCGTTAACAACCGAACCGAACAGACAACAATTGCAAACACTCTGACAAAAAATTAACATACTCGTACGATGTTGGCAGATTTGACCACTGCTGGATGCGATAATCTTTCCACCATGTAGCGCAGTTACCGGCGACGCAATTTCGGGACGGATTTATACCGTAATTGAGATTTTATGATAATTTAAGAGGCCCCATAAGTCATTTGCTGGTGGTCAGTTTCGCTTTCTTCCCGGGCACAGAACAACCCGTGCACAAAACGGCAAACCGGGGATCATTATTTATGGACTTTCCCCCTGGAGGCGATTGGAACGGCGCGAGCGAGAAACGGGAAAGTTGAGGTTATGTTCGGGCACGAGCGCTGCGTCATTCTTTCTGGAAACAAGCGAGCGCGGGGGCGGCCGACGATCCATGCAAGCGCGCGAAACGTGTTGCGAAACTCAATTAAATGCGTTGGCGGTGGCGGTGGCGACGGACGACGTCGGATAGAAATTGTAACAAGGGCGTGGGCTGTCCGTTGCCCTGCTGCCGTTGACCATTGTCTTCCGGAAAAGGGCACACAATCTCGCTCGGGGAAGCCAGGAACCGGTTTCCCAGAAATGTTCTTTTCGCTTGGATTGGCTGTTTTTTTTTATTTTGGTTGGAAAATTGAGGTTAGGTTTTCGAAAGGTGTGTCACCGCGGGCGAACTAGAAAACCTTTCGAAACTCGAAGCGAGGAGGGCACTTCACGGTTGTTGATCTCATTTGAATGAGAGGTTTTCGAGAGAGAACTCCGCTCGGACCATGAAGCCATTATGAAGCTCAAGTACCCGGCGGTCCGTCGGTCGGTTGGTTGGTAGAAAGCCAAACAAAACAAATGAACCTACCAAATAAATACACGCACACACACACACAAACACACGCGACGCCGATGGGGAAGTTCCAACGAAGGCGAAGGGAAGGAGCAACGAGAAATGGAAAACGAATGCTCCAAAGCGGATAAATAACAATAATTCGCTTTAAATCTTGCCTTTTGCTTCCAAAATGGATTGTAATCAAAATATTGTTGTTATTAGTTTAGAGTGCAGCGAGAGAACAAAAGGCTCTCTCTCTCTCTGTGTGCCTTTGCGATCTTATCCGCTCGCACGGTTGGTGGTACGAACAATCCCCCGGAGACGACGACGGCGACGCGTCAAAACACGATCGATCGATCATTCCGGCTACGGCTTGCGCTGGCGAACCAAACCGGCGATCGTATCTTCGATCCAGGGTAGAAAGTGGACCACGTTTACCAGCCCAAAGTACTGCTCGGTGTTGCAGCCGCCCGTCACCGTGTAGACCCGGCTGGTGAACGAGATGATCCCACGCAGGGTCCAAGTTCGTCCGGCACTGATGAACATGCCACCACCGGCGTCGCCGAAACAGGGTGCCGTTCCTGGAACAATGATTGGGATTATGGTTTGCGAACGAGGGTGAATGACCGATACTTGGCTTACCGTTTCGCAGTCCAGCGCAGTACATTCCGGGATAGATCTCGTACGCGAAGAAATCCACGTCACTCTGGAGGCAGTCGAGGACCGGAATTACCGGCACTCGAGCGCTCTGCAGCCGATCCGAGAGTGTACCGGCCTGCTCGAATCCCCAGCCCACGATCGTCCCGACTTGTTCATCGTATTGTTCAATTTTCTCACTTTCCTTCGGTAGACAGGCGGGTTGGATGTAATCCGTGTAGTTGACGGAGGTTTTGAGCTGTAGAATTCCCAGATCGTACTTGTGTTCACCGGGGACGTACTGTTCGTGGACGATTGCCCGAATCACTGGAATCTCTAGCTTGTGAGCGAATGATTCCTTCAAGTTGTACTGACCTAGCTCGACGATGATCGCTCCTTCCGACTTATTAACACCGTGTCTCGCACAGGAAGCCGTGGTCAGCACGAAGCTTTCGTTAATCAGCGTTCCTCCGCATGTGTAATCCCGCACGCGACCTCCATCGCGAACGTGGTACACGGCCGTATGCCAGGGCCACTCACCGGGAACCGTAGCCGTACCTCCGACGATCAATGCTCGCGTGGACACCCGCCGAATTCCACACTCCGGTTGCCGTTTTCCAGGCTTTTTCGTACCAGGTCTTCGAGTTCGATTCAGAGTTGCGACACCTTGTGAATCCACCAAAACCACTGCCAGGAACAGAGCGAAAGCTAGCAAAGCGTCCCTCATGACTACGCGATCGAGCTCGACTGATTCTCTGCTTGCATTCTAGGATTGCCCCACTCGCATTCGAAAGTGATAAGCGCTTAGGTTAGGTCATCGCTGATAAGCCTTTCGCTTCCTCGCGCTGTTCTACATGGCGAAAATCACTCGCTTTGCAATTCAATCTCGATCCTCGTTAGTTCCAGTGCTTAAAATTAATCACTGCAACGGCTTGATCCGGACTGGGGACCACACGCGAAGCCACGGTGCCAACAGAAGCCATCGATAAAAGTTAAGAGAACCATAATGTCCAGTCATCATTCTCTTAACCTCGATCGTTCGAGTGTGCGCGTTTGGTAGGGAGAAGGGAGAAGGCAGTGCCAAAAGGGGGAGTGAAAAAGAAAAAAAAAACGGAACGACAATCCTCCATAAAATAAAAGAAACCTGCTGACCACGTTCGTTCGGTACCTTTGCGCGATCGCGCGCTTCCCGAGAACATAAACATAAAAATGTGCTTGGGTCGAGGAGAACAAGGTCCGAAAGTGTAGCATGCTTCGTTTGCATGCATCATGGTAGGCTGCGCTGCAGCAGGACTAGAACGCAACTGCTCGTGTCTCTTTTCAATAGGTCCCATCTTAGATTGATCGACTTTCTCTTTGGATCGACACACAGCTCTATAGAAGAATCAACAATCTAGCATCTAAAGCGACAAAGACGACAGAGAACGTTTTTGTAGCTGAGCTAATTACGAAAGAGATCAATGCAGATTGGTCTATTTGAAAAGTGACGCGAGAACTGTTATTCTTCTACTGCTTCAAGGGATCGTAAATGTTGACAGTTGACAATTTCCACGCACCTCGTTTGCACGACGAACCTTGCTCGCGACTTGCCACCGAATGCTCATCTTTCGCATTCCATCTGTCAAGTATCAACCCACCACCCACATACGGTTGAAACTCTTGTGAAGAAGAGTAAAAAGCGCATCCGTAAACGTGGATCATGCAGCTCTCGATGAGTTGTTTGTTCAAGTATTTTTGTTTTTGTTTGACACCCATAAAAACAAAAACCTCTCAGCCAAGATGATCACTGCGTTCCGGACAGGACTGCTGCAGCAGTATGCAAATTTGATCTCTACCCAACCATCGTTGCCATATAATGAACTGGCTGACCGTGCCCTTCATTCCATTTGTTTACATTGCTACCGCGGGCGGGTGACAAACCAGGCGGGAGCAAGCCGTCATCTTGCAAATTTTTACTTTTGATTGAAGATTTATCGCCTTTCGTTTGGAATATGTAAACAATCTAACCGTTCGCTCGTTCAGCAATGACGGAACTATTCCGCAGAGGAGCTGATCTTCAGCTTTGTTTACATTCTGCTATCTTTTTTTTATTCTTACTTTTCTACGAAGCTGCTGGAGCGTGCAAACAAAGCAACCTGTCAAAAACCGCCTACTTATGGATTGTTTCGAGGGGAAGTATTGCGCGCTCTCGTTGCAAAACTCGTTGTTGTTCTTGGTTTCCGTCAACGTTCATTTTTTCAACTCATTTCTTGTCATACCGAAGAGCTTCGGATTGTTGCCAGAGAAACGTGATAAAAATTTATAAGTGGCTCTGATGTTTGTGTGTGCTCCTTCAGGTCCAAGAAGAAAACGCGACGGGTCCCATTTCCCTCCTCTCTGTCCTGTGTTCTGTCTTCTGTGACGGAGGATTTGAGAAGAACAACACACGACTAATGGTGACAGATGAGAGATGTTAAAACAATTGACTCCTCGCTCGCTCGCTCGTTCGGAGGGAGTTTACTGAAGTGCCCGGGAGATTGAGAGACACGGAAGCGGGAACGGGTTCTGCGCAATGTGACACTGCCCGGTGTGACAGGAAAGTAATTGGCAGGAACATTTACTGCACAGTAGCAGCAGAGTGGAGCAAAACAAGCAGCAGGCAAATGTCAAGTGTCAGAAAGTGTTCGGGGAGGTTAGAATTGTCGTGTTTTGTTTTTTTTTGCTAGAGAGAGTTTAATAAAGCTTTTGTGGATTTTTTTTAAATTCATTTATTTGTCATGATTGAATTGCGTTAGCTTTGCGGAGCCGTAATTCAATGTACAGTCGAATTTCACTCGATGGGCTATATTTAAGTTGGTTCCAGTTAGTTGGGCTGCCCACCTAAATCGGAGTTAAACTGACAGTGCTAATTATATTTCCAGAGGCTCATGGGGCCTCCCTTAGCTCAGTCGGTAAAGGCGCAGCTACAAAGCAAGACCATGCTGGAGGTTTCAATTCGCGGTCCGGTCTAGGAATTTTTCGGGTTGGAAAATTTCTCGACTTCCCTGGGCATAGAAGTATGATTGGACTTGCCACACAATTATACCAATGCAAAAATGGTACAGGCATCGAAAGCTCTCAATTAATAACTGTGGAAGTGCATCTAGAACACTAAGTTGAGAGCACGCAATAAGCTTATATGCGTATGCAATAAGCTTGAAATGCGAATAAGAAGAAGAAGAAGAAGAAAAGGCTCATGGATGAACAATTTAGGAAGTTGCTAAAAGATTTTGATGTATCTCTCAACCAATTTTCAGCTTGACAGCTCAGCCAACTAACGAAATCCTTTCACTAAGACCTTGTACAGACATACACAGTAAACTGTTGTACAATCGTTGTACTTCTTTAAACTAGTACCTCAAATGATACCTTTTGAGGTACTCGATTAAACGAGTACAACCATAGAGGTAACTCTAAGACTAGGAGGTCCCGAAGAAACGTGCTCAACTTTTTGGCTCAGCTCTGGAACTTTCTTCGGTCCCAAGCTAATCGATGCACCCCTCGAAACGTGGGAAAATCCACGAACCCCTCATTTTATCTGTCAAACTTTCATAGAGAATCAAAACAAACATAGTGTAGTACTAGAATTCCGACTAGAATGAGATAGACTAGTCAAGTAGTGAGCCAATTTAAAATCGCTCAAAATGATCTGTGTTTTACATGGATTGATTTTTTTGAAAATAATTTAATATTTCAGAAGATATTATCAAATATTTAAAGATATTTGGAGTTATATCTATGTTGTCTTGCCCCTTGCGCACACCGGTTTAAAAAGCATTGTGAAATACTTTCTTTTCAATTCTCCTGTTTCAAAGTATTTAAAGCTTGTTGGTGCAGGATGTTTTATAAAATATGTCAAGCTTGGTTTTTCACGATGATTTATTTAGTAATTTTTACTCGTTTACAGTCCTACTAAAAATGCTTTAATAATATAATAAGGATCAAATATTGAAATTTGCTTTATCATTTTTCAAGTGACCTGTACCGCGGTACTTCGGAACCAGAAAATCACCCAGTAATACCAGTAACGGTACTACCATAGAGGTAACTCTAAGACCAGAAGGTCCCAAAGAAACGAGCTCAACTTTTTGGCTCAGCTCTGATACTAACTTCGGTCCCAAGCTAATCGATGCACCCCTCGAAACATAGGAAAATCTACGAACCCCTCATTTTATCTGTCAAATTTTCTTAGCGAATCAAAACAAACATAGTGTAGTACTAGAATGGGGTACGTTAATCGATTTGCTTGGAACCAATAGGCTAGTCAAGTAGTGAGCCAATTTAAAATCGTTAGTTTCGTATTGATTGTTGGTACTACCGATTTCACAAACTGGGACTCTACACAGACTATTTTCTTCGGAATTTCAAGTGAGCTATAATATAATCAATTCTATTCTAACATGAATTCAACGGAACCCCAGGTGGGATTCGTCTGGGTCAACTATAGAGATTTTCATACATTTTTTAGGTTAGCCAGAGGAAAATAATAAACAACTTTACACGGCGTTGCTCCCGCTAGTGTGCGTGCGTTAAACGTCACTAATCTCTATTGATTTTTCAGGTTGCATTTCATTGATAACAACATTTCGCCAAAAACTTTTGAGTCCAGCGCCATTCGAACTTTCCGTTCCGATAAAAATCTTCGTCAAAACTCCCATCGTACTTAGCTTAGGTACGCCGTGATGGTGAAAGGTCGCTGACGATAACGGGTGGTCCCGTCCCGTTCTGGTGGAATCCATACTTTTCGGGGCTAGCGCACTCGCGTGACGCTCGACAATCACAGATCACCGGGCTCCGGTGAAACAACGGTGCGACGGCCAGGAATAGAAGAAGAGGAGCCCCCTCTTGCCAAACAAAATAATCATAAATCTCCTCTCTGCTGGCAAGTTGGTTGGGGCCACACGTTCCGTCGGAACAAGCGGTAATTTGAATGCGATTTCAATTTCCGATAGCTCCAGCCAACATGTAAAACATGGAACTTTGGGGAAACTTTTTTGAACTATTTTCCAGCACGGTCACAGTCACAGCGCGGAACTCTCGAGTGCCCGGAGATCTAACATGGCTGATAACAATCAACAACAACAACAACAACAACAACGACCGGCACTAGAAGGGTAGGGGAGAGACAATGAACTTCGTAACACACGGGATGATGACGGGTTTTCTCTTTTAGCTAGTAGAGAAATTGTGCGCTAACCATCATCATGGCTCGGTGGTTGGTACTCGGAGCCGAGTATAATATAAATAACAATTGAATTAATTTCGCATTTAAATGTTTAGCATTTTTCTGCACTTGTTGGTTGTTTCGGTGTCACCAGCATCCGCACCAACTAGCAGCAGCAGCAAAAAGCGTGAACAACGAGAGATCGCGGCTCAAGAGTTTCTATAAAATTCTGATCATGTCCACTTGGCTGTCAGAGCTGTGTGCCGGACGGATGGGGCGGCTACCGGTTTCTTGGCCCATTCAACGATCCGCTACTGGTTTTAACCGGGGTAGGGAGGTTCTTATTTCTGTGGAAATCAGGTGGAAAATGTACAGTTTATGTGAGTTCTAGATAGAGCTGGAATTAGGGCGTAACAGCCTTTGTAAACAATGACTTCTCTTGTTGATTTCTCGGAATTCAAGGTACGCCTACACAAACCAACATATCCATCGGGTAGGAGACGTCTTCCTCTACTCGATGGTGATGCCGATTTGCCAGGGAAAGACAT